TTTCACAGAAAATGTTTCTCTGTTTTGTTTCAAAATTAATTATAAAATAGTTCCTTTATTGTCAAAATTTTATGGACTAAAAAATGTTGTACACTGTGTACTGTAGAAAATGTTTAAAATATATAAATATTTGCATCAACAGCATATAAATAGGAAAACTTTTATCTATAGTCTTTAGCTACCTGTAGCTCTCTCCATGAAATGCTTTGGAATAAGTTACCTGTTTTGTAACAAAAGATATGAACGGCGTTTTCTTTAATGTGGTGCTGTTTTTCATGCATGTGAAGCTGCAGTCAGAGAYGTTCAACACAGATTAAAGTTAAGGGTCATATAAAGTCCAAGTAAAACTCTGGACTGAGGCTTTATCAACCACGTCTAATACGTCTCCTCAAGCCACATCCTTCCTGGCGTTGTTCCTGCTGCCTGTTTCCTCACTGCTTTCCCCATCTTCTCTTTCCCACTTGTCTACAACTTACCCCCGTAAAACCCAGACACCCACTGTGAACCCCCTCCCTCTCCCCAAAAAACTTCCTCCAACCTTAAAAACTCTCATTTCTTAATCTGTCTCTCCCAAAAGCTGAATCCTTGAGTGATGCCAATGATCAGACAGCTTAGCTCCRCCCACTGAGAAATTCAAGATAATCCAATATTAAAATCAAAAGGAACATTTTTTTGAAGTGATCAATAGATGAATWCAAGGCTGCCGTGTTTGGAAAAGGGAATTAATGTGTGAGACAGTGYTGACATGTCCATTAGTGTGTCAATCCCAGAATTAAGCCTCAGCACTGCAGGGGTTGACGTCTTATTTGGGTCATCAGATGGTTAAAGAGTAAAAAGACTAATATCAGCTCCAGCWGCTGCTCTGTTTGCCTGCATCCCACACACAAAGAAACCTGTTATTTTATGTGGACCGCAAGAGCTTCAAAGATGTATTAACGTCTTAAAATAAGTGCATTCTKCTTTAAAGCCAGCCTTAACCATAAACTACATCTCCCATAATGCATGCTAATTRTTTTAAATGATGGCATCTGGGTTCAAAATTGGACTGCAAAGTTTGCAGTATAAAAGTTCAATTTCACTGCGTTTTCCTCAGCTACTTTTGCAGCAGTTGTACTGGGAAGTGGGAATTTCCCACTTACAAGTTGTAAATTTAAACTAGAACACCCCTCCAGTGGGGATTCCCTGTTGGGAAGTGGGAGATTTCAGAATTCAAGATGGCGGCTATACTCACCACAACTCACCAAGTAAAAATCTCCTACGTTTTACTTTTAATAATATTTCTGTATTGTTTATCCAGCTGAGTTTGCCATACACATAACTTTCAGCGTTTGGAAGACGTTAAAATGCTGTTTCTGTACTGGAAATACCACGTAGAGCTCAGTTATTGCTTATCAGCTTTGCTCAGCTGTAGTGATGAGACGAGTAACGTAACGTTTCATGTTTGGTTGAAGTTAAACACAAGACGTTGAAGTTAACCCATTGCAAATGACCAAACAAAAGGAACTCATGAGCYGAAATTTAGTGTGGTAGTAGCTAAGAGTTGCCCTCAAAATGTAGCCTGAGTGCTATCACATCTCACAAACAAACAAWCAAATGGTTGAGGTCAGTATGCTTGGAGTTAATGAAGTTTTGACTGACCCACGGGTCTAAAAAGTGCTGTTGGTTCTAAATGTTGATCCAACAATAATGTGTAAAACTTGAACTATAAAAGCAGATAAGTTGTATYGTTCAGTTTGATGGGACACTATTTCAGGAGAGTGTAAGAAGTAATAAAGTGAGACGGGGGGCGGGGTGGTGATACAGCAAAAGCAGATTGTGCAGCAGAATGAGTGTTGATTTGACAGAAACAGAGATGCTGATGATGAAAAAAGAGAAAGAGAGAGACATCATCAAGGCTGGCAGGAGCATTACATAATCTCTGTCAGTCTAGGAGAGGAGAAGAGAAGGAGGGAGGATGAACCGAGAGGAGGACAGACTGTGACGCAGGTTTTCAATGAAAAGAAACCAGCTCTAAATGCAGCCACACACCGCAGAGCAGATTCAGCAGGTGCCAATAAACTCCTGTTTGCTTTAGTAATTTTTAATCTGAGAAGTTATTTTATTTAYTGAGGGCACTTAGGTCAGAAGAATTAATCTCGAAATCTGACAAGCTGCATTCAGCTGAAACAAGAACCTGTGAGATTACCAGTCAGTTCCAGCTGATAGGCAACAGTTTGAAGGGGTTAACACAATGAATCACAAAGACAGGCGTCTGCTTTAGTGCTTGTTTACTGTACACAGTATGGGGCTTTTTTTCAGAGATTATAGATAATCCCAAATCAAATGGGGGCCGTAATCCTTGATAATCCTATAGAAACCTCTGCCTCCACAGCAGCCAGCAGTCCTCCAGTCACAGGGCCACCTATCCATCATTCACCAAATGAAGAATCAAACTGACAGGAGTCAAGTCTCCTGAAATGAACAATAATCTAACCTTTGGAGGACTTTTGAGATTTTATTTGTTTTTTTGCAACTTCCATCCTCACGTCCTATCATTTTTGAACACAGAGGAAGTTGCTGCACTCAKTCTGGGTCACGTGGTGCAGAATGTGGTCAGCATGTGATGCCTCATGGACTCAGATTAATTTCAGCACCATCTTCGATGGGTAGTCAGGTCATCTTTGAAGTGATGTTTTTTCAAATATAATTAATACAAAAAGTAAGGAAATTAGTGTTTGGTAGATTTTTTTTTGTGTATTTTATTTTAACAATGCTTCTTGGCAATAAAACTTATACAGTTGAAGAGCCTGTTAATTTCCCTTTTAATGGTGCCACATTTGTAAGGAACATGCATCTGTGGGTTGAGCAGTAGTGCGGAGTATTTGGGTTGCACACATGAAAAATTTGCCAAATCTTCTCTAACAGTGCCGTACTTATTTTGTTGTTCATCTTGACTTTTTGTTTTGAGCTTCTGTTCTTTGTTATAACAAAGGAATAATCTACCCAAAACAAATTTCCTTAATAATTTTGTTACCTGTTAGTACTTTGTCAGCTGTGACATCTGTCATTGAGCATGGATTGGTTGCAGTAGTCCCGTCTCATTCATCTAAACAAATGAGGCCATTTTCCTGACTAAAAAATAAAAATACACTTCAAATGATCGATTTCAGGTGTTGTTAAAATACACCTCACAATATATACAGTATGTATAAAATTTACATTTACTTTCGGTTAGTCATTTGAAGGTTAAAGAAAAGTGTCTTGTTAAACTGTCACACATGACACAGCATGTCAGCCAGTTGGTAGGGTGTGGAGACAGGACTTTTATTTTGAAGGTACTGCCACATGGACCTGGTGCACAGACCCTGGATCCAAAATACACAACAGTAGTTGTTTTCCTGCTTTGGCACACCTGAATTAAATAAATGAGTGATTGACAGGCTGACCTTAAAGACCTGCTGAAGAGCAGTGAAACAACTAAAATGTGCAGGATAGCGATCCTCGAGGACCAGGACTGAGAACCATTGGGCTAAGCATTAAAGTCTGGTGGAAGACCTCAACCTCTTTCTCCACATTTAACAAATTTTATTGCATTTGCATAAAATTAGGCACTGCATGCTCAAATGTGGTTGTATTTATCAATCACTGTACAACTCTTTTGGTTCTTTGCATCTGCTTGTCATTGACTGTTACTGAGCAAACCTTTTTTTATTTTATTTTATGTTGTGATAGTGACATGCAATTTTGCAGCATGTCAGAATGACTGAAGAGCACAGCTGAAACATACATATAAACACYGTTTAGACTGAGTGTATTAAAAAACAGAAGTGGGCAAGACCCCATAGACCAGTGGTTCCCAAACTTTTTGTCTTCTGACCCACAAAATATCCATGACAAAACCTTGTGACCCCAAATATTACTGGTCTGAGTACACAAACGTCGTTAATAACCCTAAAAACACAGGATTTTTGACAATCTAAACAGCTTGTACACAAATACAAGTACTTATTTTTACTTATTTAGTGTTTTTGTAATAATTATGGAGAAAATATTACATCAGCAATTATTTTATTACCCTTTAAATTGATTTCTGGAGATTATCCAAGGTGCTTCATGACCCATAATTGGGTCCCAAGTCCAGCTATTTTGTGTGATAAACATTTGTATCAGGTCAACTAAACATGGGCATAGTAACAATATTTTTATACACATTTATCCATTTTAAAAACACTAACCTCACTCCTTTATAATAAGTAAGGCAAAAATGTAATTAATTCAGAAAATCTTTTCAGGACCCCACCTTGATGTTTCGGGACCCCACTTTGGGTCCCGACCCCAACTTTGGGAAACACTGCCATAGACCACAATGCATTGTAAAGTACTCACCATGAGCATGAGAAATAGTAACTGTATAAAGGTCTATTCTTTATGACTAATGTTATGGCTGAAGAGGTATAATTATTTGAAGCAACATCAACCAAAAAACATTTCTCCTAGATTATTTTACTAGGATTATTTTACTGAACAGTTATTTGTACAACGATAATAAATGATTTTTAATAAATATTTTCTTGTCCCTCCCCCTTCAAATATTTAGGATAATACGTTTTCTTACTTTATATTACATATTTTGCACCCTCGTTAAGATTCACATCAAACCCACCGCACCGTCCTTTTGACGGAGGTTTCTTGAACGCATCAGCTGCCTCTGCTGCCTGCAGGTTCAGAGAACTCCATTCTTGTTGCTCCCGGCTCCTGATTGGCTGAGCCGCTCGGAAAAGGGGCGTGCCCGTGTTCCTGGCACCAGTCTGCTCTGGAAGCAGCGAAAGGTGGAGAGATTTTCCCCATCACACACACACACTTGTCCTACATACACACGCCGAGACATACACACTACGCGAGAGAAACGGGACCCGTACGAACGGTGAGTGGCGATTTTTTTTCCCCCACGATTTCATCCAGCTTTGAGACGTGTCGTCGCGCGACTGTCGATGTTTTTCCTGTGGTCTCGCGCTGCGCCATCCTCTCTTTGGTGCCTTCTACAGATGAGAGGATGACACAGTCAAAGCGTGATTAAGGTCTCGCGATGCAAGTGGCATGATAAATATGGGCCTATGTTTAGCTTGTTATGTGGGGGTTCAGATTTGTTGTTGTTCTCATAATGTAAGAAGATAGTGGGCGTGTGAGAGGGAGGAGGGGGTGGTGGGGGGTCTGTGTCTCATGCAGAGGTCCGTGGATTCGTGTCTCTTTGTTATGGTGGTGGTGCCGCAGTCAGGATGGTACATCCCTCCCYACAGGAGGAAAAAACATCCACCTAATTTTAGGACCAACATGAGTTCTCATCTGTTTGTTGCATGATGCATGTAATATTTTCCTGCATTTATCTCTGTTCTTCCTGTATGTGACCAGCTGTAGATAAATTAGTGATCTAAGTGTTTCCTGTGTAAACAGATAATTGAACCCTGTATATAAAGTTTTTTCTTTTTGTTTTTTCTAATGTTACAACAGTAACAAGAAGAGCCTGGTGTTCTATAGAGAGGAAGCAGGCCCATTATACAGTAATACCCCCATCCCCACTGTACACACACACACACACACACACACAC